ATTTTTCTCGCATTATACCCTAAGTAATACAGTATAACAACTTTTTAATATAGTATTTATATTGCATTAGTGTTACAAGTAATCTGCATATGGGAGGAAGTGTAAGTTACAGAGAACTATATTTATCATATGCAAATATTACACTATTTTATATAAAGGAATTGAGCATCATGACATTTGGTGTCTTGAGGGTCCAGGAACCAATCCCCTATGGATACTGAGAGAAGCCACAGAAAAGCAGGGGCAGGGTAGTCTAAGTGATCTGCACTGGTCCTTCCCTATCAGCAAACTATGACTCTACACTTTCCAGCTCAAGATCTTTTCCCTCCTTGACATCCTGTAAGCACATTGGGAAATTTCTGGAGCCTTAAAATTTGTGATTGTTTTTGTTAGATGTACTTGATCCAATCTAAATAAGACCTTGGCTTTCTTTTTGTTTTCTCTTTGTAGGCAAAATAATAGCTACATGTTTCAAGGTTAATACTGGAGACATAGTCATGCTATCCAAGTTTTCTCTTTGGCTCACTGCCAATGGAATAGAAATTGGCTGACTTCATCAGAAGGAAGAATGAACAGGAGACAGTTTATACAAGGCAGAATTTAAACCATTACAAAATTCTCCAGTGACCCTGTGATTCATTTTGTTTCCTGGTAGTTACCACTTTCTAATTTTGACAGATGTTGTTTCCCCCTTTTTTTCTTAAGAAGCTTACTGGGCTTGCAAAGGAGAACACTAAAGAGATAAGGCTAAGGAGACAAATCAGCATCAACAGAGACAGATGTCTTATTGTAATTGAATGAAACCATAAAACCTCCCTGGGCTAGCTCTATTTTTTTTAAGACTTATTTATTTTATTTGAGAGGCAGAGTTACAGAGAGAGGCAGAGACAGAGAGCTCTTTCATCCACTGGTTCACTCTCCAAATGGCCGCAATGGCCGCAATTGCCTGAGCTGGGTCAAGAGCCAGGAACTTATTCTGGGTCGGGCCAGCTCTTTCCAGCCTAAGCTGGAAATTTTATGTAAACCACAATTTTATGTAAACCACTTTCTCCTTAATGTTCATCACCCACCCCCCCTAAAAAAAAGCCTGTTCTTATTACACCCTTCGTGTTGATACTGACATGAGCAGTTAGTATAAGAACGATCAGTAGAGGTCAGATGGGTTCTTGCCATTGACTCGTTTGTACACCACAGAAGGATGTACACAGGGCATTGCTAATTATGATTAAATATGATTTAAATGACAGTGAGGAGGCACTGAGTTCAGTAAAGTGACAACTTCTACTTTACTGCTTCAGGTCAAAGTATTGCTTAAAGAAGTTCTCTTTCAATGTCTTGTTCATTTCTTATTAGCTATCAATACTTCAATGTGAACTTAAAAGTTAACAGCTCTGTGGCACAGTGGGTTAAGCTGCCATTTGCAGCATTGGCATCCCATATAGGCACTGATTCAAGTCCCAGCTGCTCCACTTCCAATCCAGCTCCTCAATAATGCACCTAAGAAAACAGCAGAAGATGGCCCAAGTACTTGGGCCCCTGCCACCCACATGGGAGACCTGAATGAAACTCGCTAGTTTTGGCTTCAGCCTGGCCCAGCCCTGGGCATTCCAGCCATCTGGGGAGTGAACCAGCAGACAGAAGACCCCTCTCTGTTTCTTTCCCTCTCTCTCTGTAATTCTGCAATTTAACTAAATAAATAAATCTTTAAAAAAAGTTAAAGGGCCAGCACTGTTGTGTAGCAGGTTAATCCTCTGCCCTCGGTGCTGACATCCCATATGGGCTGGTTCAGGTACCAGCTGCTCCACTTCTGGTCCAGCTCCCTGCTATGTGCTAGGAAAGCAGATAAAGATGGCCCAAGTGCTTGGGTCTCTGTGCCCATGTGGGAGACCCAGAGGAAGCTTCTGGCTCCTGGCTTCAGATTGTCCCAGCTTTGGCCTTTGCACCATTTGGGGAGTGAGCCAGTGGATGGAAGACTTCTCTCTCTATCTCTCCCTTTCTCTGGAAATCTTTTAAAAAAGTTAAACAGTGATCAAAGGTAGTATAAAGATAAGACACAAAAAAGGAAAATGTGTAAAATATGAACTGACCTATAAATCAGAGTATCTCAAACTGGGTGTTATGGAAGACTATATATTTTGAGGAGTATTTGTGAGTATTGTAGGTTCTTTTAAAAGGAAGAATAAGAAGTCAAAAATTTAAGAAACATAGAATTCAATGAATGAAACATGATTTTTTATAAAAGCCTTTTTTAAACATTTTATTTATTTATTTGAGAGGTAGAGTTACAGACAGTGAGAGGGAGAAACAGAGAGAAAGGTCTTCATCTGTTGGTTCACTCCCCAGTGACCTCAACCGTTGGAGCTGCGCCAATCTGAAGCCAGGAGCCAGGTGAGTCCTCCTGGTCTCCCACGTGGGTACAGGGGCCCAAGGACTTGGGCCTTCTTCCACTGCTTTCCCAGGCCACAGCAGAAAGCTGGATTGGAAGAGGAGCATCGGGACTAGAACCGGTGCCTATACGGGATGCCAGCGCTGCAGGCGGAGAATTAACCTACTGCACCACAGCGCCAGCCCCTATTAAAACTTTTAATTTGTTACTAATCATTCATCATTCAACAAATATTTATTAAACAATAACTATATGCCAAAAAATGATTATAAGTTCTTGAGATATCCTCAGGGAATTAAACTAACAACGATCACTTTTTGTAGATCAGAAATATATTTGATCATGGTCTGTATAGACCATGAACAATAGACATAATATGTAAATTACATAAAAATGCTACGTGGGATGAATATAAGGTAGATTAGTAATACAGGTTGTTGGGGGAAAAGGAGCCCCTTTTTTTTAAATGGTGGTCTAGGGATGCTTCATTGAATAAATGATATTTGAACAAAGATATAAACCTTTTAATTTCATGATATAGATGTCTGGATGTGTCCGGTTGTCAGTAAGTTGACAGCCAGTGCAAAGGCCCCGTAGTAGCAGGTCTGATGTGTTTGAAAAATAGCAGACACCAGTGTGCCTATAACAGATGAGTTGGTGAGAGGTGTGGGAGGGGGAACAGAAGCCTTAAGAAGTCGGGAAGGTGGATTATGTGGTGTCTTCTTAGTTGTTGTGAATACTTTTTAAATTGAGGGAACTGAGTAGCAATTGCAGAATTTTGAGTAGAGGGTTAAATAGAGCTGACACATTTGTAAAGGATCACTGGTTACTATGTTGACAATTAACTGAAATAGGGCAAGGGGAGAGGCATGGAAACCAGTTAGAAAACCACTGGAACAATCCAAGCAAAAGATAATGATGACTATCGACTGACCACATCTTATATATATACTCACGGTGGATTAGGTAAGAAGTGACAGGCAAATACATTAACCAAGCCTGGACAACGTATATGTCAGTTGAAATGGGGAAAGTGGTAAGTGGATCAGTGGGGAAATATGATTTACTTTTGGACATGTTTCACACTAAGCAGGCCATTGAATGTGAGTTGAAATTTTGTGAGAAAAGCCTGAATTAATGATATAAGTTTGGGTGTGTTTGGTTTCAGATTTATGATTTCTTTGGTGGATTTTTTCCCATTTTTATTTTTAATTGATGCAATAATAATTGTCCATATTTTGGAGTGCATCTTGTGTAATAATTCTGTCAAGCTATCCATCACCTCACATACTTATTTGTAGTGATTTCAAATCTATCCTTTTTTAAGCAATTTTTAAATAGGCAATGTGTTATTATAACTATTGGTTACCAAATGCTTATCTCTAAAGTGCATTTTCAAAAAGAAAGACATGCCTGAGTGTCGTTCCCCCTCTTCGCGGATGAACAACACAGGACCCTGCGTTGTTCTTTTGTCTGCTCAGCCCTTCCCGGGTTTGCTGCTGGTTCTTCCCGGGTTGGCTACCGTCCCTTCCACCTCCGTGGAAGGGCGGTTCCCCCTGCCACTTTCCCCACTTCCGCGGGCGAGCAGCATACCGCCTGCCGGCTCTCTCGGGGGCTGCTCAGGTGTTCCTTCAGATAGATGTTCCTCTTAGATGTTCCTGGTGCATGTTGTCTCTCTCCTCCTTTATAGTCCTCTTCCACCAATCTCAACTCTGCTACCCACATGCCGAGTACGCTGCTCTCCTCCAATCAGGAGCAGGATCAGCTCCTGCAGGTTACTGGTTGAACTGGAGGCAGCTGTGTAAAAGTTGTTTTTACTCCTCTCCCAGCGCCATATTGTGGGAGAGCAGATGCATAGAATAAGTCTTAATTCCAGTAACTTAGTTGCTCCCCACACCTGAGAAGCATAGGAAAAAGTTTAACACATGCACTAGGAGAAGACAGAGCCCAAATCAAAATATATTAATGTAATAAAGCAGTAACACAGGATACAAGGCATTAAGGACACAATTCAAGGAAATTAAGAATTTCCTTCACAATGCTGGAAGGAAGAATGAAATGCTTGGGAGAAAAGTGACATTTTTCTTCATTCTTGGTTAACAGATGAGCTGCTGGAATGCTTCTCACTTCATGATAATCCAGTTGGAGGAATTTAACTTCATTGACGTATCTGTTCTTTGATACTTTGCATATATAGGGGGAATATTTCCAGGGACTACCTTTAGGAGACTGTGTGGCCATAATTTAACAATGCCAACTTGTACTTTGTGTGCTGCTTAGGACTAAATTATTTTTATTTATCAGATTGATTATTAAATTAAACCACTTTTGTTATTAACAGAATAAACAGTCATCTTAAAATATGATTACTTACGAACAAAAATAATCACTTAATTTTTCATTTGTGTTACAGCAGTCTGTTTGTATCTGGGAAGGAAAGGATTCCTCTCTGGATTAAAAGGGGCCACGGAATAAACGAACAGGGTTTCACATGTGTAATTAAGATTAAATTAATCATCTTTTTCTCATTAAGCATATTATTTTGCAGAGTCATTAAATATATTCAAATCATATTGCATTGGATTAAGAGGATTAATGGGCAGCCTCACTTCTTTGTCCGCTGAGGATTGCCACAGGGAGTTCATTGAGCAGGGGATCAAGCAGCCCAGTTAGAACCTTCCCTGGAAAGAGGGACTGAAGGATGGAAACTGAAAATGAAAAAAATCTGCTCTGATTTCCTTAAATTGCTGATGATCCAGACAGATATTTTCCAGTAGGTAATGTGAATCGATTTAATCTACCACAACAAAAGACAGCATTGAAGGCGATGTCTCTCGTTTCCTTAATACTTTTTGCTTAGCACATCCTTTTTGAGAGAGACAAGAAGAAGAAATCTTGGTAACAGCATTGGTCGCAACCACCTGCGTTCCCTTCTTTTGGAAGAGATGCTCCTGGCTTTCCAGTTGGTCTCCTTCGCCTACATCTGGATTACATCGATGCCAAATGCTTCTGCTGCTCCCGTCGCCCAGAATCCGCACCAGCAGTGCTCCTCTTCCATGGAGCAAGCCCGGTAAGAAACGCATAGCAGAGCCCATCCGATGATGGTCCAGTTTTACTCATCAACTGCCTCAGACCTGCTAGGAACGCAGAAACATGTCGCTAATGGTAGCACATCTTTGTGGTCATGTCTGTCTCTGGAGGCGGCACTCACTCATCAGCACATCACCACCCGGTGACTTCTGTAGCAGCAGCCTCCCGTGCCTCTGCCGGCATTTGTTGTGTTCATTTGTGGCCATTTTTATAAAAAGCAGCTTAAAAGTTCTTGGGGCTCCTCCCTCAGGGAATGTATTTCCTCAATGAGTAATACATATATTGCTAATAATGGTGCTTACTGAATGCTTCTTTAAAATATTTTTGAGTACAAGGTAATCTAAGCACCAGCTTCTTTTAATGTCAAAGATTGTAGGGTATATATGGTTTTATATGTTAATGAGCTAGTATTGAAAGTCAGGAAAGCTATTTTTGAAGAATAATTTTGATACATTAGAAATATTGTTTTGATTACCAACCTATCACTGCTGTTATCTGCCATTGAAAATTAAGAACATGTCTAGATGTGATACTGAAGGAGAGCGCTATATAATAGAATGACAATTACATCCCAGCTTGCCTGGGACTTTATAGGTCTTTGCAATCAAAGTTTCAGGAATCCCCTCAACCCTAGGCAAGCTAGAAAGATTGGTCGTCCTATCACCCATATACCTTGAACAACCACACCATGTTTTACAAAAGCCGTCCCCTTTCAGCAAGTACCAGAAGGAGAAATTGAGAGGTGAAGACCAGTAACATCATCAAGTCAACCCTGGCAGTCCACGGGGTGACAGATGAGTGGCCAGATTGCCTTCACATCTTGAATATTTATTGGGCATTCACCACAAGATCAGGGAAGAGCACATAAAATTTTAATACGTGCCTTCTGAGGACTCAGGCTTAATGACCCAAAACAAAGGGATGGGGTAGGAGAAAGTAGAATCCTGATTCCTGCCCTGCAATTAAAAATCAAGGACTACCTCCTACACTTTCCTCCCATGCTTTGTTTCCAGACCCAGATCTGTGGAAATGTGAAATCTTGGTCAGTTTAACACTTTCTGAGTCTTCTTCAAGGCAACCAGCTGTGGAAATATTTGGTAGATGTAGAGTAATACCGCTAGACTTCATATTATCTTCAGATTCCCTTTTACATTCATGTAGTATATTTTATCTAATTTTAAAGAAATGGAGGTGGCTCAAAATAGCGCGTCACATTCAGGCAGTGGGAGATTTGGCCAGTCTGTTTTGTGAATGTGTAGGTGAGTTGAAGAAAGATTCTCACAGGACCTAATCCATCACATGAGCCCATGATTGGTACCAGAGTTGCTGCAGAAAAATCTTCCATTTGTACTTTCCTGGTGTCACTTAAGGAACAAGAGAAGAACATCAGTTCTTTGTGGTGGGACAGAAATTTGTGCTTGTGAGTTAAATGCTGTATTTTTTTTAGATCCTATTTAAAGAAAAAGTTTTAGGGACTACACAGCCCAGACTTCCTCCAGAGGTAACCGCTCAGTTTCTGCTACATGGGGCCAAGCATGTTTGTTTTCACTTCTCTGTTCACTGAGGTGCCCCTTAGAGCCACCTTCAAGCAAATAATTCATTAAAATTTGTATCTACTGCTTTTGTTTTTCAAAGAGAAATCCTCTGGGGTCCTGGGGATTGAGTAAACGGTCACGCTGGTTCAGAAGCAACCACTTAAATTGGCACCCAGGCACTTCCCTGGGGTGAATACAATAATCCAGCCAGCCAATTTCCGTGCTGTCACTCAACACGCTCTGATGCAGATTTTAAAGCATGGAGCAAAATACAGAATTGACTGTACAGGGTAGTTTCTAGAGTCAGGAGCCCAGAATTCTTATATCTTAATATGCAAGTGAATACTCTATTGTTCTTTGCCCCACACCCAACCTGATTATGAATAAGTACTGAATCAATTGATAAATAATCTACATTTTTTATAATACAAGAGAACTAATGGAGTGAACACAAAAGGAAGATGTTAAAAATTACTTTGACCTCATATGAATTCTTTTGAGGCAGCTTTCACAGAATCAGGCTTTTAAGCGCTTTCTATTATTTTCATTTGTAGTATAACCTCACATTTGATCCAAAGAGTCCGCTTTTTAAATCAAAGCTTAAAAAATAAAACTTTTATTCAATGATTCCCTGGTTTCCTGAAAACAAAACAGAGCAATGTGTGAGTAAAGTAAGTTATGGAAGGTGCAAAAGTCCCTCTTTCCTAGGGAAAAAAGTTTGTCTGCCCAGACGTGCAAAGAGGAACCGGCATACAGACTCACTGGAAGGATACTGTGGGGACGATGCACCAACTCTGGCCTAAGGAGTGGCCAGCAGAGAGCAGGAGTCGGCTCAGATGGGCTTGCAAGACCAATCACTACATTTTCAGGACATTTATAGGCCATTAAAAATGAATGTCATTAAAAGATAAATTATAAACCTACGATTAAATAAACTACTTTTAAAGTTAAAACCATCCATACCTAAAACTCCCTTCCTAATTATTTACTGCATGTTACTATAATCCGCTGCTCTTGATGTTACTTGGGTCCACTGGCGCTGAATGGGAATGCTCCAACACACTGTAATACACCACACTATCCTGGGAGGCCTTACCGCTCTGTCAGGCACATCCGTAGCCTGACATTGGCCATGGGAGGAGTATTCACATCATGGAACTAAACAAATACTACCAATACTTTCCCTGAGCAGCCACTTGTTATACCTTTCCCAGCACTTTCCTGAACATACCAGAAAAGCCAGGAGAACCCCAGGAATCGCAAACTCAGCGCTGCTTCAAGGGATGCAGAAGAGACGGCAGGCGCTGCAGCCACAGGGCTCTGTGCTCCCCTGGGGGGAAGTGAGCAGTCAGGCCAATGCTTCTGTTACAGCAGGGGCACTGGAGCCCTGTGTTGCCAGATCTTCTGATTTCCCAAAGAAACAGGAAATTCACCTTTCCATGCTAAATTCTCTAATGTAGCACACCAGGTGAGCTAGCCCCAGAATGTCTGCACCCCAGTTCCTAATCTGGTTAAATTTCTTCATTTCACCCATGAGGAAACTGGGGCCTCGTCACTGGGCTTGTGATCTAACAAGGGAGTGGGACTTTTACCTGGCTCTTCACACACAGAGTCACCTGCAGAGCTTTGTCTCTGGCAGAGGCTGGCTGGCTATAGTCAAGGGGATATGGGCAGAGGGCCGGAGTTCAGGACTGGTTCAGCCAAGTCACAAAACAAACTCCAGGAACACAGCACATACTCTCCCAGATGTCTCAGAAGCATTGGTACCTGCAAGTAAACATTGGATCCAAATTAGGCCACTTTTCTTAGTGATCAGAAATTGAACCAATTGATTTTCCCATTAGTTTATTCTTTGGATTTGAATCTATGTGATCTAATAGAAAAGTCTTGCCTTGTTTTGTATTTTTTGAGGAAAAAATAATGTCTATAAAATATTTTTAAATTTTTGCCGACATTATTTGGAACTGGAAGCTAAGCCTGAGTGTGCACTGACTCATAATAGAGCTTAAATGAGAAAAATGCCAATGTTAGCGACAGAGTGTGCTTCTAGAATGATAAGGAGAATTCAGTGATAAGGTGGAGAGCTGTGACCGGGTCCTTATTCGGGAAAGATTCCAGATGGCAAGTCCAATTTGGCCTAGATAATTTACATTCATTATGCAAATAACACAGGAGCAATAATGGATTTTCACATGGAAAAAAAAAATACCAAAAATCTCAATTTCATGTTCACTGCTAAGCCTTTTTCAGATACCTACCTGATTTTTTTTTCATATTTAAAATGAGATTATAGAAAGTATTTTGTGTTTTCTTTAGCATTTTCCACATTTCTTGACAGATATCATAATGGCATTTTAATCACTACAGAGTATTAATCTGAAATAAAGAATGAGAATTGCCTGCTTTGCGTTGAACATTTATTTCTAACTTTGCAGTTCTAAATAATACCAATAAGTATTTTGACACTTTTTTCATTTACCAATAAAAATTATAATTTTCCCAGAATTGCATTACTCAAAGCACATTAAAAGAACTTCTCAGTCCCTGAGATTTCTAATTTCTAAAGCGGTTTAGCAATATTTATATTACCACTTGCAAAGCACAAACATTTGCATTTCATCAGAGATCCTCATCAGCATGGGACACTAGCATTATTTTTGTCTTTTAGTTATTTATTAATAAGTACAAAGGAGTATAGTTTTAATTGGTATCTCTCTGTTAACCATCTCAATTAAACATGTTCATATTTATTTGTTAATTATATCCACCCTTATGTTAATAGTCTGTTCACGTCAGGCCTAGTTTTTCTCAGGTCCTGATTCTAGTTGATTAATCAAATATTTGACCTCTAAGGCCTTAGGAAAACAGTTTTACAAAGCATCCAGCTGAGTGTGACACAAGTAAAATGAGTTTTTTTTTCACTCCACTTGTCAAACTCCAGTGCCTTAGAATGCAATACATGCACTAGCTTTGCCTCAAACATCTCTGGTTCATTTTAATTCTTTGCTTAATGTGTCCTCAGAGACTTTCTTAGTCTCCCTGAGACCAGCCTTTCCTTCCCTCTGACTCCCATTTTCCTAGTCTCAGCATTAGACTTCCTGGCACCGAGAAAAGGCACAGCAAAGGCATCTGTTTCCTCTGTGTGATCCAGGAAGGAAAGGGTCCTAATGCAAAGAGGAAAATCAGAACTACTATTGAGACTGGCACCTACTGTTTCTCCATGTTCCTACTGCCCCCTGGAAAACACAATGACTAAGAACGCCACCGAAAAATCCTCCTGCAGACTGAGACTTCTTTGCTTGACAACATCAGGACAGAAACATCTAGAAAATTCTCTGCTCAGACAGAAGTTATCCAAAACCTTCTTCTTAGTTACCAGTGAAAATGAAGCCACGTTTCCTAGAATGGGGGAGAGGGCAAAAGACACACGTTAGTCTGAAATGACACTTATGTGGAGTAAGACTAGAGAGCTCTATGCTAAATACAACGCTCCTCTCTTAGGAACCCCTTCGTGAAGAGGATTTGCTTCTAGCTCCCTTGTCTGCTTTGTTTTTGTCTTAATTTAATTAATTAATTTAATTAACTTTTCTGACTCTTACTGTGTGTAACATACTGGAGTCTGATTAATTCCTGGGTACTAAGAGACCTTCATAAATGTTGTTGAGGGAGTAGATTATTCCAGTCTAAATAGCACAGCCTTTTCCAAACTGACTGATCTCCTATTTTCTTTACTTTCAACAAAATTAAAGGAAGAACCTAATTAATATCAGGTTATAAATCACTAATAATAACTGTTGATGATAGACCATATAGGGTAAATGTTGAAAAATAAGTAAGAAGGAATTTAAAGAATTCAGTAACATTGCTAAAACAATGCTAAAAAAATTTTGTCAAGTGTCATGTACTTATACATATATGAACAAAATTTTTTGACATTGGCATCTATAAAAAAAGAAAATAGGAATAGAGCTTTTAATAAATCCAGATTCATTATAGCAATGAGTAAATACACATTTACTGATAAATAAGTAGGAAAATGCACAGTCAGTTCATTAAGAAACACATTTTCAGTAAAGTTCAACACTTATATGAGTTGTGTTTTGCCCCATTTGTAATGGTCATATAAAATAAAAAGGTTAGTTTCACTGTACACACATTTTTGTTACAAAGAGGCATACAAGGTTATAAAATTCTATGGTGCAAATACAAATTCAAAGAAAACACAGAATAATTTAAAACTTCCGATTTTTGAAAAGAGCTTATTCATATATTTTTCAACACATAATATATTTATTGGATACATTTAAAGGATTATAAGTTTTATTGTAAGGTACCAATACTTAAATATTTTTAAAGTTTATGAAGGAGGGAGGCTTTGGCCTAGTGGTCAACATAGCAGCTGGGATATCTTCATCCGATACAGGAGGGCCTGGGTGTGAGTCCTGGCTCTGCTCCCAATTCCAGCTTCCTGCTAATGTAGACTTGGGGAGGCAGTAGGTGACGACTAAGTAGTTGGGTCTGCCACTCATACTGGAGCCATAGGAACTCTCAGTTGAATCCTTCGCTCCCTGCTTTGAACTGGCCTTGCTGAGACATTGAGAAGTGAGCCAGCAGAAATGAGCACTCAGTCCCTCCTCTCCCTCTTCTCAAATAAAGAAAATAAATGTTTTAAAAGTTATAAAATGTATGATGAAAATTATAGATGTCTATTTAAATAAGTGTGTGAAGCAGAAGATTGTTTCCCAAAAAAGTTTTAGAGGACATAAAATCAACAAATTCAGGGAAATAGATGACACACAAAAAGGTAAAAATAGACAAATGTGGACCATCTCACTGTGTATCAGAAAAGCCCTCAGGTAAGAACAGGTGCATGTGCCTTTGTGTGCTGCCAAGAGAGCATTTCTTAACAGGCTCTGTGATCAGAGTTCTCGGGAGTCTTAATTAAGATTTATGTTACCCAATCTCTCCAAAGACTCTTAAGTGACATGCCACTTAGTTGTATTTTATAAAATATTACCAAAGCAATTCACAAATTTTCACGAGTTTCCAGCTAAAATTAGATTTCCATTTTTCTTAACACAACAACTAGCTAGCTTTTATTACATGCCTACTATTTTCTATGCCAGTTGTTCTTCTGAGAAATTCTTATAAATGCAAATTCTCATACCCCAAACTTATTGAATCAGAAACTCTGGGCACAGGGCCCAGGAAACCAGATGATTGGGATGTATGCCAAGGAAGACGATGTTTACAAGACATCTGGCTTGGTGCTTTGAACGTAGTAGGCCTTTAATTAAAAAAAGAAAAAAGCTAGCTGCTATCATTTTTAATAAATAGTTCATTCTAGCTCCTTAGAGATTTTTTCTACTTAAATTCTAGCTGTTAGCAAAAATAAGCCTGTGTGTTCAATTATTCATATTCATATTCAGTGACCTAACATGTTTAAAATCAAATTCATTGCCTTCTACCCAAAGTAGAGTTCTCCCAACCTCCTTAATTCTATCATTGGCAAAAATACATCTATAAACCACTGAAGGCTTCAGTCATAAGCTTCCCTATTAGAAGACCACAGTGGGTGATCTTAGGCCCTGATAAGCCTGGACATTTCTCTTCCACCAGCTACTTCAGGTCTGAAATTCTTCCCATCAAAGTCATTTTATTGAGTTAAAAGATCTCATCTCAGGTATTAACATCAACATCTAGACTTTTATTAGTGCAACAGCATGTCAGGTAGTCAGAGTGACTAGAATTCACCTAGTAGAGCCCTGAGGGCCTTCTATTATTACAGCTGCTGACCATGGTGATGGTGATGGTGATGGTGACAGGCACATTTTTCTGGAAAGAGGAGCAGAGCACAATCTTCAGCAGGAGTAGGCTCTTGCATGTCCCTCACAAAAGTGTTGCGTTCTCACAGATATGCTGCTGCCACAGTTTCAATATCCCTGGGATGTGAGTGTCACAGGGCAGAAAATGGGTAGGGAGGTCCAGCACCTTGCCCAAGTTCAAGGTCCAGGTAGGGCTTTATTCGCACCACAGGACACTTTCAGAGAAAGGGCCACTCCCCACATTGTCTTTGCCCCGAAGAACTGTGGGTGAACACAGAGCTCACCTACTTCACAGACTGACCCGGCATCAGGCCCCATCTTTGCCATCCCCTAAGTTCCAGAAACTCCAGCAGAGATCCTGCCTGCACTCTCAGGCTGCTCTCGTGTTTCCTGCACATTTTGTCTTTGCCAAACACTACTTTCATCAGTTGACAATCATGCAGTGTTAATTTTTTCCCACTGCCTTGGTGCAGAGATTACTCAGCTTCAAGGACCCAAGAATCACATCAGTAACTTGGTGAAATGTAAATTCCTAAACCCTGATTCCTTGGGTGTTAATTCATTTTTTTAAGATTTATTTTATTTATTTAAAAGACAGAGGTACAGAGAGAGGTAGAGACACAGAGAGAGGTCTTCCATCCGCTGGTTCACTCCCCAGTTGGCCACAGTGACCGGAGCTGCGCCTATCCGAAGCCAGGAGCTTCTTCCAGGTCTTCCATGTGGGTGCAGGGGCCCAAGGACTTGGGCCATCTTCTGCTTTCCCAGGCCACAGCAGAGAGCTGGATCAGAGCTGGAGCAGCCAGGACTAGAACCGACGCCCATATGGTATGCCAGAGCTTCAGGCCAGGGCTTTAACCCGCTGCGCCACAGCATTGGCCCGGGTGTTAATTTAGTTGCTCTGGAATAGGAGCCCATGAATCTGAATTCTGATTAGAGGTAATTGGGATAGCCCAGGTCTAAAAACTATGTTTGGAGAAACATTGCCTTCCATGCATTAAATCCAGACTCAATTTTTCATTTAAGGTGCTCCAAAATTTGGTTTGCCTTAGCTGTTCTATGTTTATTTAATAAGGAGCAAATGTTGGCAGGCCTTTGGCTTAAGGTGAACAGAGAAAATGAGCTTTTCTGTATTTCCTTCATAAAATGCAATGTCAAGCACAGATGATTAGCCTAAATCAAAATATCTAGAAGCATGAGTAGCTCAAAAGTATTTTTTCCCTTTGAGGGGCAGCAGACAAAACAAGTGGAAAGGTGACAGTACCAAAGTGTGGCGCCCAAAACACAAGCAGCTTCTCCACATAGAGGAACACGATTTTGCAATGAGACCTGGATTTGGAGGTGAGTATTCTGTCTGCAAAGCTCACGTCTAAACTTATTTGACTGTCAAAATGGAGTTGAAAATTTGAAACAAGATGAAAGCACAAAGATGATCATTTAAAAAAAATTTAGAAGGATCTTCTCTTAAGAATACTTGATCAATTACCCATTTTTAATTGACCAGAAAAACTCATTTTTCTACTATATACACTGTTGTAAATGGATACATCTTCCTATATACCAAACCATTGTTTTCAATGAAATCTGGAAGTTGGATTACATGCTGTTATTCATAAAATCGGACTGAATATGACTTAGCACTGCAATGCTTGGCTTTCCTGGAAGAACTGATGTGTCAAAGCCATGGTTCCCTATGAACTACTTGTGCTGCATTTTGTTTTGTTTTCGTCTCTTTATCACTTTTAGCAATTAACATTGACCCAAGTCTTCAGTGCACTATCTCATTCCATCTCCATAAGGATCAATGATACAAGCACTATCATATCCCTCCATACCCCAGTGTGGAAACTAGGGCTTAGCGAGTTTAAGACGTGCCCAGACCATGACAATGCTAAGTGCTGGAACCAGGTGCAAGAGCAGGGAAGTAGGATGGAAGAAGGTCTTGCTAGAGGTGCACAGATGGGACAAAGCCTTTTTTCCCTTCCCATGGTTTATAATAGTTGCATCGCTGAGAGTGCCAAGTCTCCTAGCCTAGCAAGGCACAGCTTCGGGGAAACCAACCAGCTAAACGGAGCTCTCCAGCTTACTGCTCAATCCACTCTGCCTCTTCTTTGATTGATCCAAAGCTTCTCATTTCCATAAATCCTGAACTGAGAAATTTTCAGAGACGTGCAGATGAGGGAAGTATGGATGAGGGTGTGAAGCAGGCTCCTCCACAGTAGAACAGGTACTGCTTACCTCTGATAAGTAACAAGGGCTTCAAGAGCTCAGGGCTGGGTGGGAAAGAGCTCAGGGTCGGGTGTTGAGGTTATAACCAAGGCAAGTGCCACAGGCATGTGGATTCCTTCCACAGAGAATGAATTTGTTTACAGATAAAATAAAAATGTGTATAAGGTAGTTGTTGTATTTTCTTTTTTAATTTATTTCTTTATTTGAAAGCATTATAGAGAGACAAGGAAAGATAGAGATCTTTCATCTGCTGGTTCACTCCCCAAATGGCCTCAATGACCAGGACTGAGTCAGGCTTACCCCAGGAGCCAGGAGCTTCTTCAGGGTCTCCTCCATGGGTGCTGGGGCCCAAACACTCACTCAGGCCATCCAGTTGTTAGGTTGAAGGTTGGTTTATTAGAATTTGCTTAACTTCCTGGAAGGCACTGGGTTACAATTCTAAGGGTCTGATCTTGATGAGTGAGCAGCTGTAGCCAGCCTTAGAACCACCTGGAGGCTGATTGCAGATCACCGGGCCCCACCCCCACGAGGTCTGGGTGGGGCCAACAATTTGCATGTCCAACAAATTCCTAGGGGAGACTGAATCCCTGCAGTATATTACCAGCATCAGATTAAACCCTGGTGAGTTTGATTTTTTTTTTCCAGAACATTTCTCACACTAATTAGATCTCAAATTAGGATTTTAGAAGCCTTGAAATGAGGCAGGTTTGGAAATAGGTCAGTTTTCATTTCCTTCTGAGACTATTTACTTAGCTCTCTGTTGTATCTTCCTTTTTCTGCTAAACACACTTGAGCCCTTAACTAATTTTCAGAAAGGCCTGTTTCTTCTCTGAAAAGTTTGGATAGCCCCCTCTACCGTCGTCAGGCAGGTATTTTGTGCTTTGGTCTCTATGTAAGATCCCACCATTTAGTGAGAATCTTCAGAGAAAATTGCCAAGTGATTGATCTTTTCAGACACTAGAGGGCGCCAGTCCCACGAGAATGACGAATCTGGCGGCTCCACAGCTGCGGTTGGAAGCTCAGCTTGAGGTGGTGTTGTTCAACACCAATTCCAAAAGCCCCCTTAATTCTTCTCAGGTTAGGTTCCTCAATTAAGTAAATTCCTATCTAGAGGTAAGGGCTTTTGTGGGGATCACTGTAGGCCGTTGAAAGCTAGAAAGACTGAGAGAAGAATGAACGTCTTGGATGTGCCAGCAGCCTGGAGATGCCGTGTTACTAGAAGTGTCTGGAGGCCACCTGTAGGATCAGCAGGGAGCTAGAAATGCCGACACCCAGCACCGCGCCCCCGCCCCCTGCGCGCACCAAACTTTGGAATCAAATCTGCAGTTTAACAAGATCCCCAGGTAGTAGGCACACAGGTAACCATTAAGAATCCACACTTTTCTTGTATCTTCAAATGTTTATGCCTTCATTCCTCATCCTCTAAATCATCCCATTCCCAGAGTAACAGAAAGTTGGCCACGCATTTTCACTTTGCTTGATCTGTTAGAGTTGCACATTAGGATTTTCCAAGTGAAAATTCGTTTTTCTGTGTATTTTATTAATTCATTTAAGAGAAAGATCTTCCACCCACTGGCTAACTCTCCAAATGCCCACAACAGCTAAGGCTGGGCCAGGCAGGAGCCGAAAGTCAGAAACTCCATCTGGATCTCCATTCTGGCTGGCACAGGCCCAAGCTCTTGGGCCGTCACCACCTGTCTCCCGGGGTGGGGGAATTGGGGACAGAGCTGGGATTCAAACCCAGGCAGTCTGGCATGGGACGCAGGCATCCCAAGCCATGTCCTAATCACTAGGCCTAAATCCTGCCTCTGTGAAAAATGCATTTTTGAATTTATTTTTCCTGAGGCTATCTTGTGGGGTTATTAAAAATACAATTGAAATGTGCTACTTAGTGACAGATGGCAAATCATCTCACAATTAAGAAATGTTTCTGACAGTCATACACTGAGGCTAAATCGTGACCAAATGGCCTACATGTTCAGGCAGAAAAATCCACAAATTCAGTCAAAAGTGTCAGTCCGATCACCATGTGAAACGTAGTTCTTAGCCTTTTGCCTGTCCTGCTCAGAACAGCTTCTCCTACAGCAACCCATTCCTCTACTCCCTCATGGCGGCCATCCTTGGGGAAATCGGGCTGCGGGATGCCAAAGACAAGCCTTAATTTATCTTCTCTTTCTTGTGTCCAGAACACAAACACATGCACATACTTCTTTCCTCTTGAGCGAAATGTAACTTCAGCACTTCTCCTGCCTTAATGTGTTTTCCTAATTAGCTTTAACATTAAAACCAGCTGCTACTGCAGTGTTTTTTACTTTTATAAAGCATTAGAAGATTAATTGACTCATTATGTGGAAACAGGAGGATATAAATTTCGGGGAGCTTTTTGTTTAACTTGGGTTATAAATTGCAGCTCATTTTCTTTATTTATGTTTCTCCTACCCAGTACATCTCCTATCACGGAGAGCTTTGTTTTAGTCTTAGAGATGATCACTTCTTTGTTTCTTCAAAGTGAAATCAATTCAGCATCTAGATGTGGCTACTTCGTGAAGACAAAGGCTAGAGTTACAACAGCTGTTAGAAGAGGCTCTGCTGGTCCAATAAGAGGCCTATCTTGGGAATCAAAAGACCTGGCTGTAACCCCATCATTAGCTAGCTTTGGGTTTTGGGCAAGTGTCGCAACCTCTCTGAATTTGAGTTTCTTCATTTGTCAAGTAGAGCGGAAATCAGTTCTACCCAGCTAAGTGGCTGTAATGATCACAGGAAATAATATATAGTGTATTTTAAGTGTACTAAACAAATAAATTAAATAACTTGAATGTAACCCTCCTTATTCTAGCCTCCATACAAACCAGATGCGTCTTTATGCATATAAGGATTATAAAAAGGCAAGATCATACAACACAAGCCTTAATTCATCTTTACCAGTTAATACCCAGTTGCTGAGTCTGAGAAATTAGTAATATAATCATGAAGGTTAATGTTGATATCATTTTTTACTCCATGTTAAATGCTTTATATCTCTAATGGCTGAGTTTTTATCCAATTATTTGTGCTGTTACTACTGATCCAGTAGATAAGGATAAGGTGGTCATTAAAACATTTGGGCGGGGTTAGGCTAAGGACTGGACTATTCAGAGCCCCACAGCAGCCCTATCATGTAGGTACCATGTTTATTTCCTAGCTTTTACAGATTAGCAAACTGAGGTATGAGGAGTTCAGAGATCTGCAGAAGTTTGGCTGTGTCTCAGGTTTTACGTGGCTACAAATCCATGATGTTTAACCCTTCTATGTGATAGCCACCTTTCCTATGACTCTGCTCCTTGTCTGTAAAAGGACTGCTCTTGGGAACTTTTGTCCTAGGATTCTGTGTCTTGCCTTTTCTTGCCCCTCACCCTCTACTCTGAACTCAGGAATACCGCAGGTTCTTAGCACAAGGAGTAAGGCCCACTGGATCATGGAGCTCAAAGGAAACAGAATAGGACCAGACAATACCCCAGGATATTTTCCTTGGGAACAAAGAGCAGAGAGCACATCCCAACGAGCACAGGATAACCGAGGAGGACGGAAAGAAGATGGCTAAGATATTCACAGGAACTCATTCCTAGAGGACCCTGGCCAGCCTCTCAGGCTGGCCTCCAAGCAACCTGGGGCTCCAGCACCTCGCCCGCAGCAGTGTGCAGAGGTCCTGTGTGGCAGCTTCAGGAGCCTGCCCGCAGGCTTGCAAACATAGCCAGCAGCATCCAAGTTGTCCTCTGGTTTTGTCGGAAATAAATGATGGAAAGCACTGTATCTTCCTGTTTCCCCCTGAGTGAAGGGTGGACTGATTGTCTGAATGTTTGAGTGTGGAATTGAAATAGTGGCTTATTTTCCTAAAAGCAGGTTCACATTTTTGCTTAATTATAGTAGCAGTGAGATTTATTTTGTGCCACTTGTTAAGCACTAATTAAGTTCGGTAACTATGTCACATCTGGTCCTCAATTGTGTCTCCAAGGTGGGCATTCACTCAGATTTTATAGATAAGGATGCTAAGCTTAGAGATGTTATTTACACTAGGTCAGGTAATAGTCATGGAATTGGGTGTTCAGATTCTGATCTATGTGACTCCAAATTTTGTCTAAGACATGTGCCACTTCTCTAAAACCTTTCCAAATCTTTTGTTATGTTGGAGTATTGGAGTTAATGGAAGGATTTACTCACCAGGAAGTGCCAGGTAGGACCATGAACAAGATATTTTCATGAAACGTTATTTTGGTAACCCTAGTAATATAAGGGGGAAAAATAAATAAAATTAAAATGCATAAATAAGAAACTAGCAAACCCTATGAAGAATAATACTTAGTTGTTCCCAAGTTACCATTAAGCAATGTGATAGAATTGTCATTGTTAGTGTTATAGGATGTGATGGGTCCAATATTGGCAGGAAGAAGTTGGTGGGTAAGATGCAAATAAAGTATCCTCAGGCCTAAAGCTATATTTGAGTACCAGGCCAGTGCCTGGCCAGCTGAAACCTTTCCAAATAAGGAATGCATTGAAGGTAAGTACTTCAGGAACAAAAATGGGCATCTGACATTGAGAAAATGAAGGTAACATTGGCAATTAATGGGCGATTCACGGGAGAGACAGGGACTGGCAATACAATTTACACTGCATTGTGCATTTAAAAAGCTGTTGAATTGTATGCACATTTATATCACATGTCGCACATTCGACTGTTACTTGGCCCAGAATGAAGCTGTTCAGGCCTGACCCTGCTACCTCCCAGAACCATGGCTAAAACGGGCAGCTGGGATCCATTCAGGCAATAGTCCCATTTTTTCAACAACAGTTGACTCTGTAGACAATGAAGTTTAATTGAGAAAGGCTCCTTATGGGAACAAACATGTGAAGATTATGTATAAGTATATAAATTATTTTAACATATACTCATGTAGGTATCAAATTTAATACACAAAACTAAATGACGAAGTTACTAACATCAATTTCCCTTCACACAGGAAGTGGTGAAACCTTTGTCAGGAGTCACTTGGAAAAACTGTAGCTTAGTCTACTCTGGGTTCCCTTGTGTTGTTGTTTGGGTTTTCTGGGCTCATGAACTTGATTCAGAGAGACTCAGTTTCAGACAAGTCTTAGCGGCTTTCTGGCTACAATTGCTCCAGTGCCAACTTTCAGTCCGTTCTCATCAAATGTGTTTCTAAGGATGTTTGCTTCTCTCCAAATGCAGCCTGTGGTAGCTGACAATCAGCAAAGGGACACTTCTGACTCGGCATCTGTGGGACGCACCCACTGCACTATCATCTGCATTCCTCCAGTCTGTCAACCACTACATAAAGGGAAGGTGGATTGATTTTGGCCAGAGAGAAAATGTTTTGACACAGCCCAGGGTCAAGGTCTCTGTGACACTCCCCGACTCTAAGAGAGACCATTACAGTGAGAAGTATAAATCTGTATGCTCTGAACTTCGTTCCTTTTTATGTCATGACTAGCTAAAAAATAGACATAAAAAATAGAAATAAACTGGAACACCACTTCTATCCTCTAGAAGGAAAATATTGAAATGTTCCCAAGCAAATGACCTATGATCACTGGAATAACATTTATTACACACATGCCTTTATTCTGATTGAATGTACATTAACTGATTCAATACATAATGGAAGAATGTGCCATTAAACTTGAAAAACAATTCTTTGCAACCTATGACTGTTGATCTTTCTCTACTTTGAATGTTTCTCAAATAATTGTGCTGCATTTCTCAACGAATTACCTATTCTTCCAAAGGTTCACCGGTGCCCGTAGGTATAGATGTCCAGGTTGAAAGCATTGACAGCATTTCAGAGGTTAACATGGTAAGTTTCCCCAAGGGATATTGGTCTTTTTCTGAAAGGGTAGAAACTGAATAGTGTCAAAATCACAGGTGTTTTAATAAATCATTTTAATTATGTATATTATTTATCTTTCCTACTTTGCTTAATAATAGCACTGTGGTTGTTTTTTTCTATCCTGCTCTCTGCCCTTGGATTTCTTTCCTACTCATCTCTTTTTCCCCCTAATGGTTTTACAGCAGTGGGCAATCAAGAACATTATGATAAAGTTATCTGTGTAACATGAACTGAGAATAACTGTATAAACATGATTATAATGTATTAGAGTAGGAAATCACATCTATGAATCCTTACGCATAAAATAATAGGCCCTTGTACCAGGCTTTATTAACTGCTTCCACGTGTTTCAGTTGACATTAATTTTGTTCAGCTGTAGACAATTAGTGACAGAGAACAAAGGATTTTTTTAAATGCGTGAGAATAAAACTTTTGTCTATTCCCTTATATTTTAAATATTTATTTATTTATTTATTTGAAAGGCCAAGTTACAAAGAGGCAGAGGCAGAGACAAAGACAGAGATGTCTTCCATCTGCTGGTTCACTCCCCAAATGGCTGCAACATTCGGCTGGGCCAACCCCAAAGCCAGGAATCAGGAGCTTCCTCCCAGTCTCCCATGTTGGTACAGGGGCCCAAAGACTTGGGCCATCTTTGACTGTTTTCCCAGGCGTATTAGCAGGGAGCTGGATTGGAAGTGGAGCATCCAGAACTCAAACCGGCACCCATATAGGATGCCAGCACCACAGGCAGTGGCTTTGCCCACTGTGCCACAGTGCCCACCCCTATTCCCCTGTATTTTAGGAAGAGACTAGGATTATTTTATTTTGCAACATAACAGCTGCATTTTCATAAGGTATTGTTCATGAATTACTACCCAGGAAACTTCAGACTGTTCAATGGTTGCTATCCTCACCCTTCCTTTTAGCCCTTTCCTGCCTTCTGTCATTTGTATGCCTTCCCTTTTCATTTTTTCATTCCCACCCTTAACTTGGCTTTAGCATTTTAGCTTTTTTATGTTTTAATATCCCCATCATAATTCTTCCATTTTATTTCCTTTATTTCTACTTGAGAACCAACCTCCTTGTCTACATAATTTTTCATTTAAATAATTTCTCATTTAAGTAATTTCTATAATTTTCAGGATCTCCCCCTAAAAAAGAATAGTTAACACCATCACCAACTTACATGCACAAGCACCTACATGCTTCTTTGCATCTATTTCCTTTTGACATCCTGTTCTTCTGTGAATTTATTGATATAGTAGAGTTTCGTTTAGCCACTTTCAGCTTATTTTTCTGTGCCAAATAATGAATGTCTTTATAGTTTCAAATTCTTAGTGTCTGTTTCCTTGTTCTTACCTGATTGCTCAATGTTCATATATTTCACTCATTCCATCTTATTTTGTTCTCCTCAATTGTGCTGTCTTTTTCATTTCTTACTTTTGTGTCTTTTATTTTATTCATTTGAAAGGTAGAAAGACAAAGAGATATCTCCCATCTACTGGTTCATTCGCCAAGTACTCTCAACCACTAGAAGCCAGTAACTCAATCAAGTCTCCCCCATGGCTAACAGGGAACAAAATTACTTGGGCCATCACCTGCTGCCTCATGGGGTACACAGTTGCCAGAAGCTGAAATCACAAGTGGAGAAAGGGCTCAAATTCAGGCACCTCACATGGGACTCAAGCTTCCAAGTAGTGTTCTAAACTCTGTGCTGAACACTCGCCCCCTTTTGTTTCCTATCAATATTATACCACACCCAAGTGTTAATGGCAAGGGTCTTATCAGGTACCTACTCCTTAGATGCAGATTATGGATATGTTTTGATTTGCTTTTTTTTAAAGATTTATTTATTTATTTGAAAGTCAGAGTTACACAGAGAGAGGAGACGCAGAGAGAGAGAGAGAGGTCTTCCATCTGCTGGTTCACTCCCCAGATGGCCACAACGGCCAGAGCTGTGCAGATCCGAAGCCAGGAGCCAGGAGCTTCCTCCGGGTCTCCCAAGTGGGTGCAGGGGCTCAAGGACTTGGGCCATCTTCTACTGCTTTCCCAGGCCAGAGCAGAGAGCTGGACAGGAAGCGGAGCAGCTGGATCTTGAACTGTTGCCCATATGGGATGCCGGCACTTCAGGCCGCGGCGTTAACCCACTGCGCCATAGTGCCGGCCCCAGGTTTGGTTTTCCTTTGGGTTTCAATTTTGTATTCAACTGAATGTTAGTTTTGTTCACCACCACTACCATCACCCAAAGTACTAAGCAGTCTAATTTTTGAATCCTCTAGAGAGGGCCTGTGCCTTGTCGAGTTTGCCCTGGAAGCCATGCCTTGCTGTGCTCTTTGAAGCCTGCTGCTTTGTTGAAATCACTCACCTGGTCCTTGGCGCCCTATGTGATTGCAGCCCTAGGCAGATGCTCATTGTCCTTCATTCTCCACTTAAAATAAAGCAGCCTGGGGTTTTGTTTTGTTTTGGTGTTTAATAAAGCCCAGGATTACCACTACCAAAAATGGGGAAAAGTTAAACTGCTTTCTTTTCAAACTCCATTTCCATCTTGAAAATTTAGTTAGTTGTTTTTCCAATCTGTTCATTTAATAGGCATTTTTATTTCTGTCAACCTCTGGGCTTCGTTCACTTTTCTGGAATCTTTTACATGTGTGTCCTTATAAAATGTTCAACAGTTGCTTTTGGATACTTTTTGGAATGACAGTATTTCTGATAATTGTAGCATATACAGTGACCTATAGAATAAAGTTCTGAAATTTAGATCTTTTATCTTTATAATGTGCAAATATCACAATTAAAGATAAAATATGAAAGGAGAATTAGAGAAAACAAGCAAAGCAAGCGTCTCCAAGGGGCAGGACCTAGAAAATATAAAGTACTAAGATCAAATAGCATTTCCTGTATATACTTAAGGATATCGTTATTGATAGGGATTCCTCTAAAGCATTAACTGAATGACAAGTTCAGGGCACAAAAATTTCAGAGATTTTTGTCTAAACAAAAATCTTCTGTGACCCACTGTACCTCATTTCAGTCTGTAAACTCAGCTAGCGATCCTGCTAGTCCTCATCATTGCCTAATTCAATATTTATTTCAGTTCAATACAAGCCTTAGATTAAACTTCCTTTGTTTTGCCATCCTGCTCTCAGAGTGTCAATAGGACTCTACTCAGAAGGCCTGATCTAGAATATTTTGACCCTTTCCTAACCAAAGGCAATTTGTACTGATACTCTCTAGCCATTCCTACTACATGAACAGCTCTTATCTCTCTTTTTCTGGCATAATATCCAAGTTATTTCTGAATGACCCAATCTGCATCTAAAATTCTCAGTGTCTCTACCCTTCAGTACCTAATACTGCTCATCTTTTTTTTTTTTTAAAGTATTGATTTATATATTTGAAAGTCAGTTATGGGCCGGCGCGGTGGCGCACTAGGTTAATCCTCTGCCTGCGGCACCGGCAGCCCATATGGGAGTCAGGGTTTTAGTCCCGGTTGCTCTTCTTCCAGTCCAGCTTTCTGCTGTGGCCCAGGAAGGCAGTGGAGGATGGCCCAAGTATTTGGGCCCATGCACCTGCAAGGGGGACCAGGAGGAAGCACCTGGCTCCTGGTTTCGGATCAGCGTAGTTCGGGCCGTTGCGGCCATTTTGGGGGTGAATCATCAGATGGAAGACCTTTCTCTCTGTCTCTCTCTCACACTGTAACTCTACCTGTCAAATAAATAAATAAATAATCTTAAAAAAAAAAAGAAAGAAAGTTAGTTACAGAAAGAGAGAGAGAGATTTTCCATCCCCTGATGTCCACAACAGCCAGGGCTGTGTCAGCCTGAAGCCAGGAGCCAGGAGCTTCCTCCAGGTCTCCCACGTGGGTGGTAGGGGTTCAAAGACTTGAGCCATCTTCCACTGCTGTCGCAGGCACATTTTCATGGAGCTGGACTGGAAGAGGAGCAGCACCCACATGGGATGCTGGCATCGCAGGCAGTGGCTTTACCTGCTGTGCCACAGTGCTGTTCCCTGGACTTCATCTTTCCCTGAATGAGGTTAGCTTTCCCGTTTGCTATCAGTTCAAGCTGTGACGGGTTCACCTTGCTCAGTCTGAAAGTGCTTTCTAATCATCGGTGCCCTCCCCTCAGTGTCCACTTGTTTGCTTTCCATTATTATCTTCTCACCCTCTTTGTCCCACTCCCTCTGCCCCACCCTAAATTCACTTTCAGTCCCTTTTGTTTTGCTCTGCTCCCAGCATGCTGTTCAGCCAGCTCCTCCTCTTGGTAATAGTATCAGCTGGTGGTGACACTGCTCTGTCGCTGATATACAGCCATGTCTGCTATTTGACTTCATAAATTCAGTACCTGCCCAGTGGCCTTCAGATCAGATTGAGCATCTAATTGTAAATGCATGCTTGTTAAGGCAATCTGTGCTGTAACCCACACAGTTCCCTATAGAGTAATGTTATGTCAATGAATGAATCATTCTATTTATTTGCCCTTACCCTAATCCAAAATTATACATGTCTAATGCTCTCAGATTAAGCCAGAGCAATAATACAATGTACCTCTATTCTGAACCTAGGAAAAACAAACTAGCTCATAATTATAATGACTTATTTATAGCTTGCTGAGATATATTCTTTGTATGATAAATTCTGAAGTCCTCTTATATTCATCAGCTCAAGGATTAGTGTTGGGAAGTAAGAGATGGTGATAAGTAAAGAATTGCGAAAGATGAAACATAGTATCATTGTCCACACCCAGTGACTTGGTTGAAGCCAGGAGAGTTTCTGTTAAAACAGGCAAAATGTTAAATGTAATCTCTAAGAACCAAACGAAACTCAAATCATAGACTAGGTTGTTAATTTGTTGCTAACATATTTTTTTCCTCTCATCTGTGCATTCTTACAACTGCAGTGCACCCTGCACTGAATCAGAATCTCTGGGAATTAGCTTCTGGGGAATATGCCATTTTAACAAACTTCGCAGGTGATTCTTTCACACACTAAACTTTGAGAGGCACCATTTCATGATATTCTGTCTCTCAAGAGGAAGATCACTGTCTTTGTCCCAGGACCTCTGATAACTTGCTTTCTACCAAAAGCTCCAATAATTGGTATATTCATATTTTTATGGCACTGTAGTTTATTCCATTTAGAGGATTATCTTTAAAAAATAATACAAGGTCATGAATATAAAATCTATTTTTAAAGTGAACATATTTAGATTTATAAAAGAAATCCCAATAAAAAAGCAATCAGAGTGGTGCTTCAGGTCCATTTCTTTGGAGAGCTCTAGGTAATTTACCCACAAGCTGATGTCGTCATGCTGCCTGTTATAACCTGACTACCCTTCCCTAGCCTGAATGCTCAGTAACTTCTAGAAACTCTCAACACTCACCAGAGTCCCTGTAAAGGAGAAGCTCAAAACTTCAACTCATTAGCTTTACACCAAACATACTTGAAAATACAATAGTATAAGCCCTAACTCTTGTTTAAATTTTAAGTTATACAGGTTTCATGCATTTCATCTATACAGATTTAGGAACATACTGATACTTACCACCTGCCTTCCCTGCCACCCATACTCCAACCTTTCTTCCTCCTCCCTCTCCTATTCTCCACTCTTAATTTTCACAAAGATCTATTTTCAGTTTACTTAATACACTCATAAGGTTAACCCTATACTAAATAAAGAGTTCAACAAATATTTTGAAGGAAAAAAAAAAAAACCACTGTTCCTCAACAGAAGAGACATGGGTTGCAAACAATTATTGAATCTTAAAATGTCCATTTCACTCTAATATATTACATTTTAGGTATTCTGTTAGTTACCCCAGATCAGGGAAAACATATGTTATCTATCTTTTGGGGACTGGCTTATTTCATTAAGTATAATGGTTTCTAGTTTTATCCATTTTGTTAGAAAAGACAGGATTTTATTTATTTTATTTTTTTGCAGCTGAGTAGTACTCCCATAGTGTACATATACCATAATTTCTTTATCCAATCAACAGCTGATGAACACCTGGGTTAACTCCATATCTTAGCTATGGTGAATTGAGCTGCAATGAACATGGAGGTTAAGATAATTCTTTCATATGGGATGGCTGGGTCATATGGTAGGTCTGCATTCAGATTTCTGAGGTACCTCTATACTGTCTTCCACAGAAGCCACTAACTCTTAAGTCATTGACACCAATGTCCATCAGTGCTAGCACTAAAGGTATTGCAGTGGTCATCCTGAACCGCCTACTGGTTTTGATTGGTCTGTTTTTCTTTCTGCCTAGGACTTTACAATGACTTTTTATCTCAGGCATTACTGGAAAGATGAGAGGCTCTCCTTTCCAAGCAGAACAAACAAAAGCATGACTTTTGATCATAGACTGATCAAAAAGATTTGGGTGCCTGATGTCTTTTTTGTCCATTCTAAAAGATCCTTTATCCATGACACAACTGTGGAGAACATCATGCTGCGAGTACACCCGGATGGAAATGTCCTCTTCAGTCTCAGGTAAGGAGGGCTTGCTGTCACCTCTGGCTTCCTTGCACAGCAGTCATCTACCCTCAAAGCTGACTGAACTCACAGCACTGATGTCTGGTTCATGATGCTGGAAACTGAGGCACAAGCAAAAGATGGGGTTTTTCCTGCCTTCTAAATTTAGATTTTTTAAAAATAGTCTCCTCTTCTAGCTATAACTCAGGCATGTGTTGACTGGACAAATGAAATTCTTATAAGTCTGACACACAGTTTATAGGTACTTTTCTTTCTTGCCCACTTCCCTCTTGCATCCAGTCAAGCAATCTTGGGAATGTTGGGTTTGTTAGATAATTTTCTTCGCTATCTCCTTCAATTTTCATGGAAAGTTATAGTCATCATCCAAGTTACTGCTATTTAATCACTTTTTCCTTTTATAAATTTAAAACATTTGTTTCAACAAGTGTTGCTGTAACAGCTCCATAATTTTATATTTTTATTTTTAATTGATACATAGTAATTATACAAGTTTATGAGGTAGAGCGTGGCATTTCAAGTCATATATATAATGATCACATAAAGGTAACTGTATATCACCTCAGACATTTATCATTTCTGTAGGCTAGAAACATTTAAAGTCCCTTTTTTTCCTAATATCTATTTTGAAAATACTCCATTAGTTGTCATCAACCATAGTTATCCTATTGTGACATGGAACAGGAGAAGTTATTCCTCCTATCCACCTACACACCTACACCTGTTAACCAGCCTCTCTTCACCCCTCACCCCACACCCTTCCCAAGCTCTAGTAACCAATGTTCTATTCTCTATTTCTTTGATATCAACTTTTTAATATGCACATGTAAGAAAGGACATGCAGTATTTGACTTATTTACTTTACTTAACATTAGGTCCTCTAGTTCCATCCATTGTGCAGCAAACAACAGACTTTCATTCATTCTTTTTATGGTTAAACACTATTCCATGTATGTATGCAACACATTTTTTTTTATCCATTCATCCATGGATGGACATCTTGGTTGGCTCCATGTCATGGGTATTGCAAATAGTGCTGTAATAAACTAATGAGTGCAAATGTTTCTTCCATATATTGATTCAACTTCCTTTGGATATATTCCCAGTAGTGGGAATACAGGATCCTATAGTAGTTGCATTTCTAGTCTTTTTAAAATATTTTTTCTTTTTTTTTAGATTTATTTAATTTTAGATTTATTTACACATAGAGGAGAGGCAGAGAGAGTGAGAAAGAGAGAGGGAGAGAGCAAGAGAGAGAGAGAGAGAGGTCTTCCAGAGGTTCACTCCCCAGTTGGCCACAATGGCTGGAGTTGCACCAATCCGAAGCCAGGAGCCAGGAGCTTCTTCCAGGTCTCCCAAGTTGGTGCAGGGGCCCAAGGACTTGGGCCATCTTCTACTGCTTTCCCAGGCCAGAGCAGAGAGCTGGACAGGAAGTGGAGCAGCCGGGTCTTCAACCGGTGCCCATATGGAATGCCGGCACTTCAGGCCAGGGCGTTAACCCGCTGCACCATAGCACCAGCCCCTTAAATATATTTTTAAAAAGATTTATTTTTTTCATTTGAATGGATGAGTTACAGAGAGAGAGAGAGAGAAAGGGAGAGAGAGAGATATCTTTCATCCACTAGTTCACTCCCCAGTTGGCCACAATGAAGGAGGTAGACCAGGCCAAAGCCAGGAGCCAGGAGACCCATCCAGGACTCCCACATGAGTGCAGGGGCTCAGGGTCTTGAACAATCTGCTGCTACTTTCCCAGATGAGTTAGCAGGGAGCTAGACTGCAAGTGGAGCTACCAGGACTTGAATCGGCACCTATGTGGGATGCCAGCATTGCAGGCATCAGCTTAAATCATTAAGCCACAGGGCTGCCCCATCTGGTTTTTTGAGTAACTTCCATACTATTCTCCATAATGGCTCTAGTAATTTGCATTCCCCCAAACAGCGTATGTGATTTCCCCATTCCATTCTTACCAGCATTTTTACCCTATATTTTTTTGAAAATAACATTTTTAACTAGGCTCATTATGGTTTGATTTGCACTTCCCTGGTAATTAGTGATACTAAGTATTTTTTCATATACTTGGTGGCCATTTGTATGTCCTCTTTTGAGAGTTGTCTATTCAAGTCATTGACCCATTTTTAATTTCTTTTTATTTGAAAGGCAGAGAGACAGAAAGAGATTTCTATCCACTGGTTAACTCACCAAATGCCCGCCACAAACAAGAGCCTAGAACTCAATCTGGGTCTCCCATGTGGGTAGCAGGAACACAAGTACCTAGGCCATCACCAGCTGCCTCCTGTGTATTAGCTGGAAGTGGAAATCAGAAGTAAAACTGGTACTTGATCCCAGGCACTCAAGTATGGGCTGCAGGCCTCCCAAAGAGCATCCTAATCACTGTGACAAATGCCCACCCCCATTCACCATTTGTAAGTCAGATTCTTTGATGTTTGCTTTGTTGAGTTGTTTAAGTTGCTCATATATTCTGGAAATTATTACCTTGTCAGAATAATACTCTGCAAATATTTTCTCCCCTTCTGTATGTTATATATTCATTTTGTTGATTGTTTCCTAGGCTGTACAGGTTTCTAATATGATATAATCACATCTGTCAATTTTTTGTTGGATTGCCTATGCCATGGGGGTCAGATCAAAAAAAATCTCTGCCCAACCAATGTATTGAAGCATTTCTTCTGTTTTCTTCTAGTACTTCCATAGTTGTTTGACTGCATTTAACACTTAGATCCATTTTTAGCTGATTTTTGTATAGAATGAGAGGTAGATGTCTGGTTTCAGTCTTCTGCATATAGATATCTAGTTTTCCCCCACACCATTCACTAAAAAGATTTTTCTTCTTCTTTTAACTAGAAACTTTTTATTTGATCATTATTTTCATAGGAATGGCATTAAATCTATATTACCTGTGATAGTATCTTTGGGTATTGTGGACATTTAAAACATTATTTCTTCTAGTCCATGAACATGGCTGCCTTTCAATTTGTGTGTGTCATTTTCAATTTCTTTCATCAATGTTTTATCATTTTATTATAGATATCATTCATTTGGTTATATGTATTCTTATTTATCTAATTTAGTTTATGGCAACTGTGAACAGTATTGCTTTCATGATTTCTTTCTCAAGAATTTCATTACTCATCTATGAAAAACTACTAGTTTTTATGTTTAATTTGTGTCTTTCAAGCTTACTGAATTTATTTATCAGTTGTGGTTTTTGGTGCAGCCTGCACTGTGTGTGTATGTGTGTGTGTATGTGTGTGTGTCCTACAAACACAGATAATTTGATCTCCTACTTTCCTATTTGGTTGAATTTTATTTCTGTTGCCTTATTGCTCTGGCTAAGACTTCAAATATTATACTGAATAAGAGTGACAAGAGGGAATGTTGTAGCCTTTTTCCTGATCTTAAAGGAAATTAAGCTTTTTGCCATTCAGTAAGATATAGTATATAAGTTTGTCACATATATCCTTTATTGTTTTGAGGTACATTTATTTCTATGCCTAATACTTTCAGCATTTTTAAACATTGACAGATGTTGACTTTTATTGAATTCTTTTTTCTAAAACTATTGAGATAATTGAATGACTTTTCCCCTCATTTTATTGATTCTTTATGTTTGTTGATTTGTGTGTGCTAGCCCATCCTTTCATCTCTGGGATAAATCCCACTTGATTATGGTATTTTTTGTGGTTTTGATTTTATTTAATAACTAACAATGTGGAACATCTTTTCATGTGTTTACTAACCATCTGCATTTCTTCTTTGGAGAAGTATCTATTCAAATCTTCCACACATTTTAAAATTGCATTATATCTTTATGAATATGAACATTGTTGAGTTATAAGTATTTTTTATGTATTCTCCACAGTAGTTCCTTATCAGATATATAATTTGAAATTAACTTCTTCCATTCTTAGGGTAAAGGTGTTGTTTTTCACGATTAGATCATATTTAGATAAAGTATCACATTAACTATTGGTTTCTCATAGATGTCCTTTAGCAGATTGAAGAAGTTCCATTCTATTCCTGTTTATTTAGTGTTAATATTATAAATATTGTTGGATTTTGTTAAATGCTTTTTCTGTGTTATTGAAATTATTCTGTGATTTTTGTCCCTTTTTTTAACCTATAAACCTTTTATTTACCTATGAACCTCATGCATTTCATATATAAAAATTCAGGAACATTGTGATTCTTCCCACACTACCCTGCCTCCCACCCATATTTCCATCCTTTTTCCACCTCCCTATTCCAATTCTTATTTTTAACTAAGATCTATTTTTAATTGACTTTATACACATAAGATTAACCCTACACTAAGAGTTCAATAAACAATATGAAAATGAAAATTGTTCCTCAACAGTCAAGACAAAGGCTGTTGAAAGTCACTGCATCACAAAGTGTCAATTTCACTTCTATAGATCACCTTTTATGTACTCTATTAGTTACCACAGATCAGGGAGACGTGTGGTATTTGTCTTTTGGGGACTGGCTTATTTCACTAAGTATAATGTTTTCCAGTTACAACCATTTTGTCGCAAATAACAGGATTTCATTTTTATTGCAGTGTAGTATCCCATGGTATACATATACCATAATTTCTTTATCTAGTCTACAGTTGACAGACATCTGGGTTGATTCCATATCTTAGCTACTATGGATTAGGCTACAATAAATGTGGGGTACAGATAACTCTTTCATATGCTGATTTCTTTTTCTTTGGGTAGATTCCCAGGAGTGGGATGGCTGGATCATATAGAAGGTCTATATTCAGATTTCTGAGGTATCTCCATACTGTCTTCCACAGTGGCTGTACCAGTTTATATCCCCACCAATAGTGGATTAGGGTACCTTTTTCCACACATCCTCACCAGCATTTGTTTGTTGATTTCTGTATGAAAGACATTCTAACAGGGTGAGGTGGAACCTCATTGTGGTTTTGATTTGCATTTCCCTGACTACTAGTGATCCTGAGCATTTTTGCATGT